TTAGGTAGATAATAAACTACACAGGAGGCAAAACAGAGCCATAAGCAACACGTACCCCTCAGCGCTGGTTCCTAGAGCTGATTTGTGAGTTAAACTACCAATCGTTTCTTGATGGATTATTTTTGTTGCTGTTAGTTGCAAAGTCATGTCCGACCCATCGAGACGCCATGGACAACATTCCACCAGGACGTCCTGTCCTCCACCATCCCCCAGAGTCCACTTAAGCTCACACCAACTGCTTCAGTGACTCCATCTAGCCACCTTATCCTCTGCCGTCTCCTTCTTCTTTTGCCGTCAATTGTTCCCAGCACTAGGCTCTTCTCCAGGGAGTCCTTCCTTCTCATTAGGTGGCCAAAGTATTTGACTTTCATCTTCAGGATCTGGCCTTCTAAAGAGAAGTCAGGGTTGATCTCCTCTAGGACTGACTGGTTTGATCACCTTGTGGTCCAAGGGACTTGCAGGAGTCTCCTCCAGCAACACAATTCAAAGGTCTCAATTCTTCGGCGCTCAGCCTTCCTTAAGGTCCAGCTTTCACAGCCATACATTGCAACTGGGAAAACCATAGCCTTGACTATACGCACTTTTGTTGGCAGGGTGATGTCTCTGCTTTTATGATGCTGTCTAGATTTGCCATAGCATTCCTCCCCAGGAGCAAGCATCTTTTAATTTCTTAACTGCAGTCTCCATCTGCGGTGATCTTGGAGCCCAGGAAAATAAAATCTGTCACTACCACCATTTCTTCCCCATCTATTTGGCAGGAAGTGAGAGGACCGGATGCCATGATCTTAGTTTTCTTAACGTTGTTTCAAGCCAACTTTTGCACTCTCCTCCTTCACCCACATCAAGAGGATCTTTAGTTCCTCTTCACTTTCTGCCATGAGAGTGGTATCATCTGCATATTTGAGGTTGTTGATATTTCTCACAGCAATCTTAATTCCAACTGGTGATTCATCTAGCCCCGCCTTTCTCATGATGTGCTCTGCATATAAGTTAAATAGGCAGGGTGACAGTATGCAGCCTTGCTGAACTCCTCAATTTTGAACCAATCAGTGGTTCCGTGTCCAGTTCTCACTGTTGCTTCTTGACTCACATATAGGTTTCTCAAGAGACAAATAAGATGGTCTGGTACTCCCATCCCTTTAAGAACTTGCCACAATTTGTTGTGATCCACACAATCAAAGGCTTTAGCATGGTCAACGAAGCAGAAGTAGCTGTTTTTCTGGAACTCCCTAGCTTTCTCCATGATCCAGCGTATGTTGGCAATTTGGTGTCTAGTTCCTCTGCCTCTTTGAAATCCTGCCTGTACTTCTGGTAGTTCTCGGTCCACATACTGTTGGAGCCTAGCTTGTAGGATTTTGAGCATAACTTTGCTGGCATGTGAAATGAGTGCAATGATGTGGTAGTTTGAACATTCTTTGGCATTGCCCTTCTTTGGGATCGGAATGTAAACTGACCTTTTCCAATCCTGTGGCCACTGTTGAGTTTTCTTAATTTGCTGGCATATTGAGTGTAGCACTTTTACTGCATCGTCTTTTAGGATTTTGAATAGCTCAGCTGGAATACTATCACCTCCACTAGCTTTGTTGTTGCTCAGACTTCCTAAGGCCCATTTGATTTCACATTCCAGGATGTCTGGCTCGAAGTCAGTGACCGCCCCATCGTGGTTATCAGGGAAGTTAAGCTCTTTCTTGTATAGCTCTTCTGGGTAATCTTGCCACCTCTTCTTAATCTCTTCTGCCTCTGTTAGGTCCCTGCCATTTTGGTCTTTTATCATACACATCTTTGTATGACATGTTCCCTTCATATCTCCAATTTTCTTGAAGAGATCGCTGGTCTTCCCTATTCTATTGTTTTCTTCTATTTCTTTGCACTGCTCATTTAAGAAGGCATTCTTATCTCTTCTAGCTATTCTCTGGAATTCTGCATTCAATTGGGTGTATCTTTCTCTTTCTCCCTTGCCTTTCGCTTCCCTTTTCTCAGCTATTTGTAAAGCTTCTTCAGACAGCCATTTTGCTATCTTGCATTTCTTTTTCTTTGGGATGGTTGTATCGAGCTCCCCCATCTCTGGCTGCAGAGCACATAGTCAATCTGATTTCTGTGTTGACCATCTGGTGATGTCCATGTGTAGAGTCGTCTCTTGGGTTGTTGGAAAAGAGTGTTTGCCATGACCATCGTATTCTCTTGACAAAATTCTACCAGCCTGTGCCCTGCTTCATTTTGTACTCCAAGGCCAAACTTGACTGTTACTTATCTTTTGGCTTCCTACTTAGCATTCCCATCTCCCATGATGAGAAGGACATCATTTTTTGGTGTTAATTCTAGAAGGTGTTGTAGGCCTTCATAGAGCCGGTCAACTTCAGCCTCTTCAGCACCAGTGGTTGGGGCATAGACTTGGACTATCGTGATGTTGAATGGTTTTCCTTGGATTCGAACTGAGATCATTCTGTCATTTTGGATATTGTATCCCAGTACTGCTTTTCCTACTCTTTTATTGACTATGAAGGCTACTCCATTTCTTCTGAGGGATTCTTGCCCGCAGTAGTATACCTGATGGTCATCTGAATTAAATTCACCCATTCCTGTCCATTTTAGTTCACTGATTCCTAAGATGTTGATATTCAGTCTTGCCATCTCTTGTTTGACCACATCCAGCTTGCCTTGATTCATGGATCTTACATTCCAGGTTCCTATGGAGTATAGATCTTTGCAGCATCGGACTTTCCTTTCACCATCAGATACATCTGGAACTGAGTGTCGTTTCGGTTTTGACCCAGTCGCTTCATTCTTTCTGGTGCTACCAGTACTAGCCCTCTGCTCTTCCCCAGTAGCATATTGGACACCTTTCAACCTGAGTGGCTCATCTTCCAGCATCCTATCTTTTTGCATTTTGGTCCTGTCCATGGGGTTTTCATGGCAAAGATACTGGAGTGGGTTGCCATTTCCTTCTCCAGTGGATCACGTTTTGTCAGAGCTCTCTGCTATGATCTGTCCATCTTGGGTGACCCTGCATGGCATAGCTCATAGCTTCATTGAGCTACGCAAACTCCTTCACCACGACAAGGCAGTGATCCATGAAGGAGGGATTGTTGTTTATTACTTCCTAAATGGAAGTGTTTCTTGAAGTCACATTTTATGGCTTGTACCTTTCATAGTATGGATCAATTAATTGCCATTCCTATTCCAGGAATTCCAGCTCAGCCTGTTTCCAAAGAACTTGAGGGGGGAGCAGAGAGGCAGCGTAGGAGTTACTCACCTACTCCTAGTGGCCAGGGCTTCAGGGCTTTGGTCCAAGAGCATGCCATCTGATCGGCCCCAGCCATGTTAGTGGCAGCCATTTTCCTCTGGCCATTGGACCTGTTTTGTTCTTATTTAATTAGATTTTTTTTATTTTGTATAGTCTCCTTTCCCCTTCCTCCCATTTATGTTGTAAGGTGTGGGATTGTTTTCACAAAGTTATCTTCTATTCTTTGTAAGCAGCTATTAACACCAGTTTATGGGATTTGTAGTTTTACTTTTGTTTTCTAGACTGTTTCTATCATCTTATTTTAATTCATGTCTATGCATGCCTCTTCTTCATGTTGGTTGATCTTGATTTTACTAAACTTGTCTTCTCTCCAGTACTGTTTTATCTTTCTCTTTCTGTTGGATCCATGAATATCCTTTCCTCCTCTCAGGTATGTAATCTGGAAAGTTAAAACCACCACCACTACCCTGGTGCTGTGAGTGAATACATTCTCTCAGAATGACAGTTCCAATGAAAACCCATAATCACCTTGGTCAAACAGGAGCTTCCAGGATAACACATTCCTTTTGTTCTTAATAGGCATACTGCATTCGCGCATGAAATGGGTATAGGTTTGGTTTACAGATAAATCAAGTGCTTCATTATGGATCCAGAGGTCCTGACCCTCAGTGGTGCTGTCTTTGTTAGGCACCTCTACCTGTATGCTGTGTGGTCTATTCCATAACGACAGCCATTTCCACTGCTATTGCAAGTTGATGGTGGCACGTCTTTCCTGATAGCTCTTCTTGGTACTTGGAAAATGGGGGAGGTATAGGCACAAGTGGCTGAGTATATTTCTTCTCACCCCATTCTATTGTCAGTTTGGCCTGAAAGAAAAGACTGAAGGGGAGAAGGAAGTGGTTCAAACTGGCAACAGCACTGCTGTGTGGGCTTCCTACCTTTGCTTCCATTTCTCCTTTCTCTAGCTCTATTTCTCCTTTCTCCATTTCTCCTTTCTCCATACTGTAGGCCAGGAGTCCTCAAACTTTTTTAATTGGGGGCCAGTTGAAAGGTGCCGGTGATGAGTGCAGGACGCCAAGGTGGTGCAGGCAGGGGAGCGCAGGCCGGGGTGTGTGCGCGAGCAGCGAGTCATGGGCGGGAACGCACAGAGATCCTTTTCTCCGAGCGAGTCCAAAATGATATCTGCACAAGAAAGCCTCTGCCTCGCCATGCATGCATGCACGGTGAGTTCAAAACCTCTATGGTGGGCTAGATAAATGGGCATGGGGGGCCAGATTCGGCCCGCAGGCGGTAGTTTGAGAACCCATGCTGTAGGCCACAGGAGAGTGAAGAGGAAAGCAACAAGACAAGAAAAAGGAAGTAAACAAGAAAAAGGAAGTAAAAAACACACCATGATAATCAAGCAGGAAAGGAGGAACATTATAAAGCTCATCTGGAAGTCTTGCTTGTTGCCTACTGGACAGATCAGATCTGGGGAATAGAGGGGTCCCCTCCCCTGAGAAAGCAATCTATTGTCTCCTACTGAGGTATCAGATACTGTCCCAAAGGGTAAAGTACAATGTCGGTGTCAGTAAGAAAAGTCACCTATGTATTTCTGAAGAAAATGAGAGAGAGAGAGAGATGTAATGATACTAAGCATACCATTATCTGCCAAAAAATAACATCTAATGTGAGTTATATAATATACACACAGAAAAACTGGGTGATTACATTATTTTATCATGGAAATAACATTTTATTGTTAGAAATTGTACTAATTGCTAAATGCAAAGGAGTATTAAAAATCTATTTATAATTACCTTATCATTAGTTCTGCAATATGTCAGAAAGCCAGAACAATTACACATGTGAGACAAAGCTATGAAAATCTCAAATAATTTTCAATTATTTGACTTTAATTTCAACTAAGGACTAATTCTGTGTTATTTGCTGGCACAAGTGTTTGGACGTGGGACCTTTTAATGTCAGACTGCTTTGTCAAAATTTCTACTTTTATAGCCTGAACTAAGACTGCAATCTTAAATACATATACTAAGGGGCAAACCACATTGAGCAAGATATCCAAAGAAAGATACACAATGTTTCTTACTGGGATCATTGGGATCCAAAGAAGTGCAGTACTAGTTTCATACCTACAGAGAAGTTTTGCAAACTAGATTTTCTCAAACAATAGGGCCTTGTCTCTTATGACAAGCTGCTTCTCAAGCTAATGAGACTTTCTTGTAAGAAACAAAACAAAACACGGTGTGTGGCAAAGCCCTTGGGAAAAGAGAATAGATAAAAAGCTCTTTGGATCCTAACAATTATTAAGGAACCAGATATCATAGTTCTTATAATTTAGTGTACCTGAAGATCTAATTACAATAAGAGAAGACATGAAATTGGTTTGATGTAAAAAGTGTCTACATACCACGCTGTGATAATATGGTTATGATTATAAGTGGAATTTCCTCTCAAGGAATTTGATACTAATATTGTATAGTTGTGAGTTGCCAATTACTGCATATACCAGTCATTCCTGTGGAAATAATTTGTCATTTGTAAATTTCATTATCTTTGAATATTTCATTTGCTGAGATTTTACATGACAATTAATTTTATAGGTGATAAGAGCATATTAAAAATAAATAAATTAAAGCCAGTTGACTGATTCTGAATCAATAACAATTCCCATTGTCTTGAATTATCTTCAGCATCCAGATTAAAAGCTTGTTAAATACTGCCAGCTTAAAGGGGCAGTTTCTTCTGTTCTGCATCTTTTGTTGTAGGTTCTTCATGTAATAAAGAGCTCAGCTGTTTCTGTGCGCAAGACAGGAAAAGTTCCAGACTGGATAGACTACGTTGGCGGATAACTTGATCAAGCTGTCAGAAGAAAAATATACTTAGAAAAAGGATTGAAGAAAAATGCAATCATTTAATAATAAATGAACAATTTGTCCTATTAAAATACACAGAGTATGGATATATAAGATTTGATACCTATTGGATAGTATTACATTTGTCTAATTTTCTTTTAATTTCAACTTGAAAGCACAAACCAAAGCTTGGGACTGAATTTATACATGTGAACATATCCTTAATCATTTAAAGACAAGGAATGGTTTTTAGTAGCTGAATTACCATTCAAATCACCCCTAACTACAGGCTATGGTAGCAGGGGCTGATGGGAGTTGGGCCTCAACAATATTTGAAGGCCACAGTTTCTCCATTCCTGCTTTAGATAATCTGTAGCTGCCTTAGATCACCTCTGCACACTGACCTAGTACAAACCTCAAGTGCTGCGCTTGCTTGCTCTCCCTGTTTTTGTTGTAGATGCTCACTCTGAGGATTGGGACCAGTTACTGTGATCTACTAGAAGAGGCTTTGGGAGTGAGAAAGCAGGTGATCTGCTGCTGCTCAATTGTAAGGTGGCTGGGCAATGGCAGGTGAGGAAAACACAGAAGGGAGCTATGGAGGGTGAGGAGCCATGGAGAAGGAGCAGCCCAAGAGACAAACTGCAGTGTGATTGGCTAGTTGCAGTTGTCTACTGTGCAGGCCCAGGAAGTGGAGGGAAAATGAGATGTGCAGGAGAGAGGACCCAAATCTGCATGGGAGGTACCACAGCACGACACAGAGTAGAATATTTTCAGTGACTATCTCAGTCTACAGAACAAGTAAGCCTGTTGGGGACTTGCCTACCTGGTGGCCTGCTGACTGACTGGTAAGAGATGGCTTTGATTATTTCGAGGGAGTTGGGAGACAACTCCCCAAAGGTCTCCAATTTGAACTGGTGCCCAGTATCACTGTTTGGTGGGGGACAGAGAAAAGAGTTTTTCATGGCAGTGCCAGGGGCCAAAGTGGCTCGGGCATGAAAAATAATGAAGATCACCAGTATAGAAGATAATATTATAAGTTATCATTAGCATTTCCCCACATATTTGATATGCTGTTGTCAATTTTCCTATGTAAAACATCAAAGTATATATGTTATATATGTTTAAACATTTATTTTCCAGGAGTGTTAGAATACTGTGTTTGTTCCATCATTCTCTTTTGCTACTGAATTCCTCTAACATAAAGATCTCTGAGCAAGAAAGACAGGTTTACTCTCTTTTGGTGATTTAAATGGTATGTTCAGATAATAGGTAAAAGCTGATTAACACTATTGGAAAACCTCCAAAATTTCCATCAAAATGTCACAGCTCAGCTGGGTAGCCTGATAGATTGGCATTTCATGCTATATTCTTTTCCCTCCAAATGTAGCAACCCCATTCTTCTCTTTAACCAGTATTGAATGGGTGCACAAATAGTTAGAATGACTGAGCATGTCATCCTATGACCTCCCAGGATCATAATCTAGAGACCATAGGATTCTTTGCAGCCCAAGCCTCTGCCTAGCCCTTTGCAGTCAGTGCAGAGAGAGCCAAGCTAGCTGCCCCACCAAAGGCCACAAGAGGAGGGGGGAAAGAGTATGCTGGGAGCAGGGGAGGGGAGAAGGCTGGGGTGGGTGGCTTATCCCATGTCCAGACATGATTAATAATGGTTAGAGGTAGGGTCAGAAGGACAACTGGAATATAAAAAGAGATAGAAGCAGCAGTATCAAAACACAGAACAAAACACTTTCCAGCATTTGGTTCTTCATTCTAGATTTGGCTAGTGTTTGTGCTTTTTAAAATTATTTTGCTGTGTATCATTAGGAGTGAAAGCACAGCACAATCTTTCAGTTTTATTTCACAGAATGACCTTATTCAATGAATACTTTACAGCAAGAGTGACATGTGTGTAAATACTAGCTATATCCTCCAAGGTACGTACGTACATCGTGGATTCCTTCAACAACCTCCTGCACAGTAATTCCTAACTTGGGAAAAGGGATGAGGCATTAAAGCAGCCTCCTCCATCTCACTGTGGAAGTGCTGACAGAATCATAGCCACAGCATGGGATGGCCTTGGAGTTCCAGGTATTGCTGAATCTTGCTGGGAGAAGTTGGGAAAAGACTGGCTTATATAGTGTTCCCAGCAGTATTAATTCTCAGGACATTGATACTTAGGATCAGGACCTTACTTAAGATTCAACTGCCCATCCATTAGAGTCAATCACACCATAGAATAAAGGTATCTACAAAAGAGGAGGATGATACTATAAAAGGAACAACGGTTCCGTATCTCCAGGTACGTGACTCAAAGTAAACAATCACAAGCACTCTATAGTACTCTGTATTGAAATCCCCATGGTATGCAGGAGGTGTTTGATGGATTCTGTGGTCTTTGTCAGGGGCCAGAGACTGAGAGCAGTAGCAGCATCTATCTTGCTCGGTACAGAGAAAAACACTCAAAATAGAAGGTACAGGAGACATACATCTCTGTATTGAGACCAGGTCTGGATGCAGTATTATTGCAGGCAACAGATCGTGACTTTCACTTTCTGAGACAGAAATACTTTGTGGAGGCTGAGACTCAGGGCCCTGTATCAGTTTTGGTGTCAGGGCAGAAGGGTGGTTTGGATCTTGTGTCGGTACCATGTCTTCAGCAAATGGAAGCCCAATAATAGGAGGAAAGTCCGAGTGTTTTTGAGCTCTCCTTCTTATTGCTCTCCTTTTCCTTAGTAAGGGCAAACAATTTTGGAGCTTTACTATTTCTGACTGCTTTTTTCAGCTTCCCCATCTAGCATACTTTTGATGGGGGAGGATCTGAGTTTTCATCTGCACTGGAGGACATAGGAGTACCACTTCCACCAGATCCTTTATGACTCTTGGATGGATTTCATCAGGTCCTGGAGATTTGAATGCTTTCAACCCAATTAGATGGCCCTTGACCATTTGCAGTTTAATCTTGAGCCACTATCCTGCTCCTTCAGCCGGTACTTCTCCTTTGTCAAGAAAGTCATTGATCCTCTTTTGGGAAAAGATGGAGTCAAACTCGGAATTGAGCACATCTACCTTTTTTTTGTCATCTGTTTTCATTTTGCCATGCACATTGAGTAGCTGAACCGTCGTTTTTTTCACTGTCTTACTTTGGACATATCTGAAGGAGGTTTTTGTTGCTGTTGCTGCTGTTGCTTTTAGCATTCCTTACTAGCCTCAATTCATTCCTGGCTTTAGCTTTCCTGATCCCATCCTTGCAATTGTGTGCTACCTGTCTGCATTCTTCCTTTGTAGCCTGGCCTTCCTTCCCCTTCCTAAGCATGCCCTTTCAGATCATCTCTAAGCTTTTTGTGAAGCCACATGGACTTATTTTGTTTTCTTCTACCCTTTTTCCTTGTTATAATTGTTTGTAATTCTGTCTTTAGAATTTCCTTTTTTTAAAAAATTCCCACCCAGCTTGAACTCCAGGGCACATATTTGGCTGCATTTGGCTTTTGCCTCCTTTAGAATCAAGAATTCAAGTATGGCATAGTCACATGTGATTTTAACAAATCCAATATACAAAATTGGTATATAGAGTTAGGCCCACTAGATGGGTATATAGGGGATTACTTTGTATTAGAGTTATGAAGAAAAGTGAGCTATGTATGTGTACTTTGTCAAATCCTTAACCAAGCTTGAAACCAGAATGCTTGCACTTTCTTTAAGGTTCAGGAATATACTCAAGGAACTTTCCTTCATGTCAGAAAATGGTTGTTGGTCTATTGTTTTGCTTTCTTATCTCAAATGGCTTCTGTGATGACTATTCAATGAAGGATCCATTAAATTACTGTCACAAATATCTATAAGATTCTCAATGAGCAATACTGTGTTTCAGGTCAGGCAATTCCTCTGTTCTTGTACGTGGATGTAGATGTGAATGGAGTTTGGATGGTTTTGCTTTCTAGACAAGGCCAGTGAATCAGAGGTGGAGATTTTCTTGAAGCAAGCATGAAAAGAAACACCTGGAGTAAAGAAAGATAAGGCAAGGACACTTACCAAGATAAGGAACTGAGTAACAGAAAGAGTGCAGAAGAGGAATCTGCTGCAAATCAAGAAAGGATGGCAGTGTTTTTATGGAGACTTTGGGAAAATACTGATAATGCACCAGGTGTTGGGAGTCAAGCTGTGAGGAACCTCCTCTCCCAGGAACCAGAAATTTAGGAAGGAACCGGCCAGTGCAGTTCACAGTCCACCACAAAAGCCCCCCTTCTTTACAAAATTTTAAGAAAAACGTCAACCTGATTTACAGGGTCATGTGTGCCAATGGACATTTCTGTCCCTGATTCCCTCTTCCACATTATGCTTATGATTTGGCCAGTCTAAGCTATGCAAGTATGAATACTTTTTCTCTTTTAACCATTTCAGAGGAAATGGGTTTTAGGGACTTGTCCCTACTGTGATAGGTAAAGCCAGGTGAGAGCCCTGTCTTGCCTTCACAGGCCTTTGGGCCTGCTTCTTTTCTCTTGAGATACTTGAGGGTTTAGTGCCAATTTAGGGCATCATGCCTGTTTTTTCCCCCTCCTCCTCAAGGAATTGAGGATATTAAACCAGGCAGGGCAATGTGTTCCTTTGTTCTCAAGAAGGACAGGTGTTGCACTGGCTCATTTTACTACTGGGGAAAGACAGTGGCCTGCCTACTATGGTTCCTCTTTGGGAGTTTCATTCCTTGGATGTTAGTTTTAGGGAGATCAACAGAAGATTTTCTGGCATGAAATGGATGGGAGTGGATTTAGAGTGGATTTGAAAGGTATAATTTTCCAGATTGAGATGTCGTTTGCTGAACTTATCTGTAGCTGTATCTTTTTCTGTGTCTGAAAAAGGCAGGTTGCTCACCTGTAACTGTTGTTCTTCAGGTGGCCATCTGTGCATTCACACATATGGGTGCTGTGCCTGCACAGTGCCTATAGCCAGGAAGATTTAAAAGCTTAACGGTTTTGGCAGGAACGCCACACCCCTCCTCCCCCTACAGTATAAGAA